CCAAGTCTAATGGAAGAGAGCAGTAACAGAAATTCAGTGTATGAATATGTCTTTTAATTTAAAATTTTAAGCCTATAGAAAAAGCAACACATATTAGATCAAGTTTAAGCATTGATGAAAATACCTCTAGACCTGTTAAGAACACCTGCATGAGGTATTTTTAATTATACAAAACCTTTGGGTGAGATTCACATTTAATGGATACCTGCGCAATCACACAAACAGTACTCCCACAGTACAAGAGCTGGTAATGTGCATATTTAAGACTGCAGGTCTGTTATGTTGCTCTTATTGTCAACACTATGAATACATAGAAGCACACCACACAACACAAAACACACAACACGTATTATTCTGTGTTTGTGTCAGGTTCTTTGTGAAAGTCAAAGCCAAAAGAAAAGGGGGCTAACTTTCTGTTTAAGTTCACATCTTTGTGCTATTACAGCCTTGGCTGTAGTGATTATTAAAGCTTTAGAAATGGCCTCTTCTGGTCAGCAGAAATTCTTGCTCTTTGTTTCAGTTACACTATTTGGTTTTAATAACATTTAAATAAAAATGTGCTAAAAAAATCATCTACTTTGCTCAAAAATAAGAGCGTTTTTACTCAGCAGATTGGCACTGCGCTAATTATACTGCAGCATTCTAATAGGAGTTGGAAGTGCAGTTCTGCACAGCTGGTGTCCTACATTTGGCCAGTCTGGGCTATAATTGATATTTAAGCATCAGTACATTGCATTATTGTTAATGCTGATTTTGGGGACATTTAAATTATAGCAGTGCTAAAGTAATAGCTACCCAGATGTGCAGTGTTCAAAGGCACATGTGGCACTAACTACTAAAAGAGCAAAGAGGGTTTGGTTTCAGGTCCTTGTCAAAGTCTTAAATATAATGTGTTAAATGTAATAGGATCAAAATGAACTACTTGAAAAAGTATATTAGTGGAACAAATTTCCAACAAATGAACTGACTGTCATATGCTCACAATTTTCACGCACAATTATGTCGAAAATACTTGTAACAACTGTCCTGGGCTGGGGGTACTTCTTGTGTAATAGCCATTTCAGCAGAAAACATTTGTTCTCTCCCTGATAAATGTTAGTGACACTGTGCTTTGTATAACTGCCAGCCTGCACTGGGTCACATAGCGATCTCATAGCGATACATCTATCCCTGCTGCATTGTACTCTTGTTGTGTTTTGGACTTTACATGGCGTTCCTTTTTCATGGCGTTCATGTCTACACAGAGGCTTATTGGAGCGGGCTGTGCTAGTAGCTCTTTCATGCTTCGGCTCTGACTCTGGAGGACTAACAACTCAGACACTGTCAGATCCAGGAGAGCAGGGCCACGGGCTGCTGCTTTGAAGTGGGCTGTGAGATTCTCATCTGCAGGGATCAGATGAAGGCACAAAAGAAGATAGCAAGAGGTGCAAAGCTCGAGCTAAACAGGCATCTATGGACCCAGAGGTGGGGAACGCAGTCCGGAGCTTGGCCCACATGCTGCGAGTGGCTTTAGATCTGTATGAGAAAGAAACATTGTATTGTACATAGGGGTGTGCAAAAAATATAACAGCACTGATATATCATGAGGATCGTAAATTTGGAGTAACGATGTTATGGGCTGCTGTAGCAACATGCTTTTGGTATCTTTTGTAACAGTGCTACAATTGTGTTGCTTTTTTTTAGAGAAAGGAAACTTATTTACACCATACATTTGACATTTAACTTTTTGATAATTAATATGGGTACATTTCATTTTAAGTTTGTGCAGGTTCCGGATTTAACAAAGACATCTTGTTGTTAAAATGTATTGTATGTATTAATATATCATGTGCGGTACATATATTATCACATAATAACATTTCATAACCAAATATAACAAACAACATAACAAAATATCCTGTAATGCATCTCTAAAAAATGTATTACCACTGTATTATTATTATTATTATTATTATTATTACTAGTAGTAGTAGTAGTAGTAGTAGTAGTAGTAGTAGTAGTAGTGGTGGTGGTGGTGGTGGTGGTGGTGGTGGTAGTCGTATATATATATCATTGTTGCTGCCAAAACATACATTTCCTTTGGGAAAAATAAAGTATTATCTATCTCTCTATCTATCTAATATATGTATGTATATAACTAATATCTAATATAGCATTATTATCTTTGTTTAGCCATGTATCGTGTATCATACCAAAACGCAAGGGGGTCTGTGATTCCAAGGGCTAATATAAACTATTTGCAAATATAACTCACTCAGACCTGAATTTTTGAATGAAGTGATAACAAACCATTTTTCTTTGAAGGCATTAAGTTTTTGAAGTTCACTCAAAAGGTACAAACTTAAGAATTATTCCACAATCAAGAACACGACACTAAAATAATGTCGACTTTTTAACTGCAAGCAGTAAAAAGGTAATTGCTGGCGGTTGTCCTTTCTTCACAAGTCCTCAATATCAGAACACTTGGCAGGCTGTTCACGTTGAGTTAATCAGGCAACATAAAAAATGAAGCCCACTAAATTCATTAATTAATCTCTTTTTATTCCTGCACAGCTCAAACTAGTTTTAAATTATTCCGGCGCTTAGCTGCAAGGCAAATTGGTACTCAAGGCATGTGAAATAAACATTAGGTGGTTTATCTATTGATGCAAGACATAAGCAGGGAATGAAATGTTGTGGAGTGTACTGGATAAAGTTTGTTTTGTAATTGATTTTGTGTATTAGAGAAGTACTTGTGTGAAAAGGGAAAGTAAAGCAAGTTCTTATCATAGTTTTGGGTTTGTTGCCGTGGAGCATTTACATTTTGCATGCTTGTATGGGTTTAATTCAGGCATGCATAATTTTTTGTTGCAGCGTAATACCTAGTTAGTCTGCTCCTTTTGAGAAAATAAACACTTTACGTAAACATGGTCTAAATTATTCCGAGTGCTTACTTTGCATAACTCAAATGAGCTACACTGTATTTCATAAGATTATTCAAAGATGGAGTTAGCAATATTTTGGATGAGGTTGCTGAAAAAATGCATATCTAAGTCTATAATTTCAGCTTGCAAAGTGACATGGGTGTTGAAGTGTTTTCTTTTACAGCCAATTATACGTGTTGAAATCCTGTCGAGAGTAGGTCTGTTCAAATGGAGTTTATGTAATGTTCCTGGCTTTGATTGGCTGATTGCATGTAGCACAACTTTACATAACACACACATAGAAGCATGAAAAGAACTTTTAGACCGTAGTTTCTAGTTTAGGATTAAGGCAAATACTATCCTGCAATGGTACATCATGATGAAAAAAGTACAAAAAATACAGCTTTGAAAATTTGTGTTGGATCCGATTCACTGGTATTTTCTGAAACCAGGAGACCTATGGACCAGGAAAAAACCTTGAATATTTGAAAATTCCTGACAATTTAAGAAACAGTTCCTTGATTAAAGCATGTTATTTGTTTGATTAAACATTTCGACTGCAGACCTCACCCAAATTTAATGCCAGATGTGCAAACCTTTCTGATCAGAATCTTCAGATCAATCAACGCACCTCGCTCACTGTACACGTCTGACGTCCTTTAGCCTCTTCCTGTCTGTAACTCCAGCCATGTTTTTGCATCTCACGGGGAATGCCTTTTATCATGTGACAGAGTGGAGCCTGTGCTGTGGGATGTAGAGTGAAGGGGGGTTGGGGGTGGTCTTCTCGGGACAGCTGTTTCCCATCAGGTTTCAGTGGACCGGAGTGAGGCTGGTCGCGGCTCTGCTCCGTGGATCAGAAGCCGCTGTGGGGAGGGGGCTCAGGAGAGATGCGCGGGGGCCCAAATGCGTCCAATTAGAAGGTCATCCCAATTTGTTCTCCCATATCCGCGACACTCTTCTGGTATCCAGGGCCCTGCTTTAGTTCCATGTTACATACAAATCCTTACGCCAAGAGGTGAATGGGTTGCTGCCATCTGGGAGTCATTACGCCTTTTCCTCCATTGTTTCCTGTCTTTTCACCCCAGTCCAGCTCCAGCGAGCTCTAGCTTTAGCTCTTTGTTGGCGCAGGTTCCATTGGCTTGGCTTGTTCAGGTTCGAAGCCCCCCCAATCCCTCCTTCCCTGTTCCCGTCTGTAATTTAAAACTGGGAACGCTTAGCGGCAGTCACTCATGCACGGGGCGTCTGCATTAGCACATGTTGTTCACCTCATCAGCAACAGGAATGTTCGGCAAGATGTTTTGATTCATCATGCATCCATTTTCACCACATCGCCCTATTTGCAATACATTTCTGCTTGGCTGTAATCATGCAAATAATAGTTGGGAATCATTTGAAGCAATTTCACGACACGTTTTACTTTTAAAAAGGCATTCCACTTCAGAGGAATTTTCTGGAGCTGTTTGCATCTTGAGGCTTTTCAGTGGAGACAGGAAGGAGCTAGCTTGTGGCCACTAGAAATCGCACTCATCGTTTAGACTTGGTGGATTGGATGCAAGTTTGCGTGGTCTCTGGTTCAGCCTGAGATTTTTTTCCCTTTGTGGAAAAATGATAAATTGCCGTGGTATAGTTCTGTTTAAATGTTTCACTGGAGCACTGCAGGGTGGTGTCGTCTTGTCTTTGTCACTGTCAGACATCAAGACATTTCCCTTCACGTGGGCTTATCACAAAATATCTCATTGTGTTTGAGAAAGGGTTTTCGGCATGAGCAGAAAAAAAAATTGCAAAATTCTGTTAAGAAAAATATCATGCTTGGGGTTTCTACAACCCTTTATTATGTTGTCGTCAAATGGAAGTCAGAAGGTTGTATTTTCATTGACAAGTACACAATATCCTGCTGTTAGAGTGGGTAAAGTAGTGGTCTAAAGAACACTATTTCACAATGACTGACAATAAAAATGCTCTTTTTGAAAAAACCTCATGCTCAGAATTCATATTTAGAGAGAAAAGAAAAACAACCTTGAAATTAGCCTCAATTGTAAATGTCCACTCGTAACCTATGGCCTTTATTGAGACTGTGGTCTTTTCTGTGTTTTGCAGTTCTACGAGATGACTTCAGACAAAACCCAGTGGATGTGATGGTTGCTGTGGGTGAGCCTGCGGTGCTGGAGTGTCAGCCCCCACGTGGACACCCTGAACCCACCATCTCCTGGAGGAAAGATGGCTCCAGTTTGGACGATAGGGATGAACGCATCACGGTATTTTGTTGATTTTACATTATGTATATTTGACTTGTGTTGCACTGTTTGTTACACAACAATATGACAAAGAAAAGCTTGTTTTGTATGTACCTGGAGTGAAACAAGACTTGCCAACTGGGAAAGTTACATACCTCTGTGAATCTGACTCAAACTGCACTCACAAGACTGTAACTCCATGGGAGTTCATGTAAAAACAACTAAACATGTATTAAACAATATATTTCTATAAAGACAGATAACATTTTTGAATCATGAGTTTAATCTGCCTTTTAACATCTAAATACCAAAAAATACATAATATTCAAATAGCTCCCTCACTTCACAGAAAGAATTTCTGTTGTCCCATATACATTTTTTTATCTAAATAAAATTATTAGTCAACTACTAATAAAAATTCTGACCAACTAAAACACGGTTAAACGACTAAAAACCCTATTAGCAACAGCAATATTATTAAGATTTTTGTTGTAGGGTTCTCAGAAACAAAGTACGAAAATAATAGATAGAATAGATGATACAGGAGGACGTTACTATCCTTGGAAAATTAGACACCTGCCATAGCAATTCACTCTTTAAAACAAAATAGGATATCCTATCCTGGTGGAAAAGTCCTGAAAATGTTGCCTATAAAGTTGAAACCTATTAGGGCTGGGTATCATTACGAAGTTGCCGATATGATACATATCTCGATACACAGGTCATGATACGATACATATCTCGATACAGTGCACTTTCGATTCGATATGATATATTTCAAATTGATTCAATACGGTTCAATAAAAAATAAAGGCGAAATCATGGCTGTCATACTAAAAGTGTTTGTTAAACCATGCAAGTCTTTGGAGGCAGGAGTGCTACTTGGATATGCAAAAAATGTGCAGAATTGTCCTTTTGGTGCTCTTCAGTGTAGGGACCAGTCTCAAATACAAAGTGGGAAAAAAACTGAGGCACTCAAAAAGTACAAAATAATTAAAAGCCTTTAATACCACATGGCAGATAAAGTTAAAATACGCCAACGCGTTTCGGCCCTTCGGCCTTCATCAGGGCAAACTCGAGATGGTTATCACAGTGCAGATTTAAAGTAACAGGTGTAGGTCACATGTTCGTTAAACCACTTCTTGTCCAAAGTTCATATGAAACACAAACATTTTAATCATCAAAACAGTAAAAATGTCAAATGTGTTGCTTAAATGAGTTTCCTTTCACTCCACAAGCAACAAAACTGTAGCTCTGTAACAAAAATAATTAAATAAAACACACCTAAAAATACTCTTGGTGATATATCGATACAGCAGCCCATGATATCAGTATTGTATCATCACATTAAACGATACGATATATCGATATTCGAATATTTTTGCACACCCCTAAAACCAATGAATAGACCTACATCAGTGTAACCTTTGACAGTTTTTTTTACTGTTAACCAGTATCAAGCTTTTATATCAGTGTTAAGACTGATTCTGTTTATTTGATTATTGCACTCTTAACATATTGGCGTTCTTAAATGTTGAATACCATTATAAACCTTGTCTACTATTTAAAGACTCTAGGATGCTTTGAGCTTGAATTGTGCTCTGTTGTCTTGCTTTGCTTTTCAGAATTACTGGTGTAAAATAAGAGATGAAATTACACTATTTGTTGGCGCTGTAATAATCAGAAATTAGTCAAGCTGGTGGTGCTTGTAGCAAAACAAAAGACTGTCAAAATTATCTCAAAGCTTGGATGGAGTTTTAGAATCAAAATGTTCTGAAGCATGAATCTATTTCACTCTTTTGGTTTCCTCCAGTGAGTATAATTGTTCTAAAACTTTTTTTGATATAAGATAGAGAGAGCTTTAAATAGATTAAAGATTTAAATTATGCGTCAGTGAAGATTTCGCCTGATCCTGTACCTGTAGGATGAAAGGATCTGCATTTCCAAAAAGGAGAAGTTATTACTAATTCCTCACAGGTAATCTCTTTATCTTATGTAGCGATCTGTGTGTCTAAGTAAACAACATTATCATCTTTATTATCAAAACCTCATTTAGATTTGCAATTATAGATAGAAAACATAACTCCAAACAACAGTAAATTGGTCTTTTTTCTTGTCTGTACAACTGATGATAAAATACATAATAATAGCAGAATTACATGAACGGCTCTCAGAATCTTATATATAAGGCTGTCACAAAGCGGGACTCTGTATTGATTTTCCCTTGCAGTTTTGTGTACATTGAACTGATTCTGGGCCCTGGAGGCATCAGATGTATTAGAGCAGTAAAAGCACAAAACAGGTTAGCTATCACTCCACTTCCTATGCCTGTACTTCCTATACCCCAGCCGCCACATAATTGAATGTGTGTATATGTGGTTGTGTTGATTTGTTTATCTGAATGCTGGTGTGTGTACAGGAGATGCAGCAGAGCAGTTTCAAAGCCCATCTTAGTGCGGAGTGACAGGTAGAGTGTCTCTGGGGGGCTGTGATGGACAGAGCATCTATGTGTGATTTAAGGAGCAGCGCAGATCAGAGCCAGAGGGGGGCTCCTTAGAGATAACTCACAAAGACTGTTTGGGCTTTGTACTTCCTATACTTCTATGTTGTTTCGTCCAATCAGCTCCCTTATATGGAAATATGTCTTAGCTATTAGAGTTTGCTGCTCAAAGACTTCTTGAGGAAGGAGGAGTCCACCACAAACTAATTTATGGCTACTATATACTGCAACTACTCCCAGTATTTCCCCTGTGTCCTAAGCCATTATTTATTAATAATCATATGTATGCTTACATCAAGCTTTTAATTATGAGACGCTCCCTACACATTGGCAAAGTGTGATGCATTGATTTTAATTAAAAAGTGAAATAGTCTTATGAAGCAAAAATGGAAAAGGCGTTTATATTGCGTTTAGAGGCCCTTGAAGCCATACACATGTTATAGGTGTATACACACTCTATTCATAATCCTGAAGATGTATGCGCACTAAAACCCATCGTGCCTTGCTCAAAGCAATACATTTGCATTTGAAATATGGCAGGTCAAAGGATAAAACATCCAGTTAAGTATGAAAAATGCTTAAAGTTAATCAGTGAATGTCTCTAATTGGTGAATTTCATAGTTATTTTACTTGTGGAAGGAGAACTTGGCAAGTTATTCAGTATGCAGAATGTTCCATAATATTCAGTATATAATATTATAATATATTCAGTATATAATTTTATGTGTTGAAATTTTTGAAGGTATTGTGTCTCACAATATGGAAAACAATTAAGAATGACATTGTGTAGCACAGTGCTGACCTTGTATTAAGCTAATGTATGTTGCATTATATTATTGTACTCAAATGCAGATGAATTTCCTTTGTGCCTTTTATTGATGTAACAGGGCAAGCTCCTCCTATTCAGTAGAAGGCAGCTATCATATATAAATACTGCAGATGTCTCTCCCGTAGTCCATTTATCTGTGAAGAAGACAGCGAAACAGACATGAAATTCAAGCTTGGTGCATTGAAAATGTAGGACAGCGAAACCACAGTTAAATTTCCAAGTGGTTGAATCTCTGCTAAAAATGATGAGCGGTCACTTATTTCACTCTTTAATCAGCTACAGCCCTGTGGTATTTACAGCCAATGGTAAAAGTCAATGGCAGTGCTCAGAGTAAGATGTAGTCCACTGGGATTCTAACTGGAGTCATTACACCACCACAATGTTTCACATCGATTCATCAAGAGGCACTAATTACATAGTAGGTCTAGCAGCCATAGCATGTCCGAGAATGCCACAGAGAGCTAGATTTGTCCAAAATTCCACTATTACATAATGATAATATCCTTTTAATCCATTGATTAGTTCAAATTGGTAGGTTCTTTACGACATAGGCTTATGTCTAAATCCAGCTGACCAAAAGAAAAAAACTATAGTATTTTACAGTTGCTTGCCAGAAATCACGAGAAAGGGGATATGACGTCTTTAGTACACAAATACCATCATCGACTACTATGATTTTGTTTTATATTTTACTTGTATGGATTATCATATTTTTGTATATTTTAAATCTCATTGTCTAATGTTATACCGTAAACCCCTTTACAGCAAGAATTCCCAAAGGTGAAAATCTGTGTTTATTACTTACCTGATAATATGCAGCCAGGAAATGCCATTTTAAATTCTAATGTGTAATGTATAAATCTGTATAAAATATTCCTGCTTTGCCTGGTTTTATCCAATGCAAATACATTCACTTTGTAATACAAATTTAAACAGATGCTGCTCCTCTGCCAGGGAATTTCAAAATAAGGCTGTACTCTATATGCCTTTTCTGTTCTTCCTGTAAATCAGTATTCTGTATGTTGATAGCATTAGCCTTCTACATATTTTTGATGATGCTTGCATCAGGCCAATCCACTTGTTGGGCAGTTGTTTTTCTTGTGTCTTGTTTGTGGCTTGGATCTGGACCAGAGGGCTCTGACTAATAAATGAAAGGTTGTCGGTTTGATCCCTGCAGCAGAAATTTAATGATAGATTTCTGTCTGTTGGTGGTGTGCGGACAGGGCAGAGCGAGGCAGGTGCTGTCCAGCGTGATTCTCAATCCCCCGCTGCTGCTCTGGCTATATACAGCGGTGACCTCATGACCTGTGTGAAAAAATAATGGAATAGACTGGCCCCTGCACAGTTTGTTTTATAGAGGTGAAGAATACCAGATCAGAAATATTTTTGGTTCACTCTTTTGAAAAAAAATGAGAACTGGTCAGGCTATGTTGTAAAGGTGCACTAGGTAACTTTCCTGGCAGGTGGTCCAGGTGGCTTGTCTCCATGGAGATGCTATTGATTTGCCTGAAATGTTTTACAGTATTCACAATTCTTAATGTGAGTGTGCTCACCTCTCCATTCGCTTAGGTTGTGTCACCTGCTTGTCTCCATGGAGATAAGTTTAATGCCATTCTGTGGAATATTACAGAGAATTTTATTACAATAATTTATCTCCATAGAGACAGGCAGATGGCAGGTGCTCCACATACACCTTTAACATCAACATTATGTTGTAGACACCGTTGCTGCCACAGCAACTTACTTGATAAACTAAAATAAAAGAGAAACGTTAGCTTGGACTAAAAGAAACATGTGCCTTGCATTTACAAGTAAATAGACCTTCTAGCCCACTGTATAAACCAATTCCCTAGTAATTGCCATTCATTTATAAGAGGCCATAAGTTAATATACGCTAAATTAGACAATTTGGTTTGAAATTGAGTCAGTATTAGAGATCTGCCACTGCATTTTCTATTAGCAATAATACCATGGAGTTATAGACCTGTCATATTACTACAAAGTCATTAAACAATTTGTTGGTGTTGCGAGATGCTTGCTGATGTGATGTGCGTTCATGACTCAGTTTTTCATCTGAACTGACTTCACAAGTTCCTAAAGGCACACTAAGTGACCAGCATGTTTCCATGGAGATGTAAATGCTTTGCTTTGTCTGGAATGTTCCTCAGTAAGGCATTATTTACTTTCAATTACGTGTGTGTTGCTAGCTTAATGAAAATACATTCTTTGTGTGAGCACTGAACATTCCAGGCAAGCAGGTGTTGTCTTTACTCAGTATTGTGATATTACAGTAATCTATTAATAAGTGTTGGAGAAGAAGCAGGAAAATGTAGCTATTTATAAAAATGAGACCTTGGCCTTGTGTCGTCAGATGTGCTGTTCATTTACAGGACCACACCAGCTCTGCACTGTTGAGCCATTGGTTTGGGAAGCCTCAGTCCCCTAACCCTACATTCAAAGTGCTACAGAGACGGCTCATGTGGTCTGTGGGGGCGTATGGTGCAAGGATATGAAAGGAATGAAAACAGCATGGAGTGCACATTTCAGTCCCTACTTTGTTGTGTGACTGTGTGTGTTTGACAATGAGTGTGCATATACTACAGTGTGCGTCTGAGGCAAAAGTTTTCAGAAAGGCAAAGTACACTGACAGAACATCTGACGAGGGTCTCTACAAAGAGCCCCTGTGTCTTTGTTCCCCGCGCTAATGTAGCACCAGATATGAATTATGTAATTTCATAACAGATGACCTTCTGTGCTGCTGTGTGAAAGGCAGGCCGATTTTTATACTTGAATAAAGGTATGCGCAAGACTATCTGCTGTCATGACACCAAGGATGATTGCATTATACAGTTAAGAGATACTATGTGGAGCATGAAGTTCAAGTAAACAACGTGAAAAGGATAGGAGACTATGAGAGTTTGTGTCTTTGAAAAGTCATCCAAGTCATTAGTCGTTCTCTAACCTTAAAACTGCACTGTGTAACTTTTTGTGGGAGGGTTTATCATGTGATGGCCTTCTTGGAAATATTATTGCTTTTTCTGTAATGTTCCACTTTATCTCCTTGGACACCACCAGGCCAAGTTACATCAGTAGATCTATAGAGAGGTGAATGCATGTTGTTCAAGGTATTTCTTTATCAATAAAAAGATTGTGTAACTTTTCTGGTGGAGGGTCCCTCAAAGCTTTTCTTTGTGGAGATGCCATTGCTTTGTCTGTAATATTTCACAGTGTAGTATTATAGTAATAATATTATAGTAACCTTTCTATCTTCATGAAATCAAACCAGACCAAGTTAGCAAGTCAGATCTTTGGAGAGGCAACACCACTCAGTCAGAATCTTTGTTTTTCTAGGTAAATCTGAGCTATTAAACTGCATATGTTATTTAATAAATGTAAGGTAGAGCTGTATTAATGTCATACAGTGGTACATACCAGGCATAGAAGCAAGATGACAGACCCCCAACCTAAAATGTACAAAGTGCAAATTTAAAGGATTATTGTAAAACGTAAGCAACTCAATAACCAGAAAATTTGCATATTGCACCTTCAAGTCTCCAAATGTCTGAACAGAGATAAACAAACATGATTTTTTGTGTATTTTTGTTTTTCTTTAGATCCGCAGTGGGAAGCTCATGATCACCAACACAAGGAAGAGTGATGCTGGCAAATACGTGTGTGTCGGGACCAACATGGTGGGGGAGCGGGAGAGTGAGATCGCTGAACTCACTGTTTTAGGTGAAACATGTATAATGTGTGGTTTCTTTTCCCTCAAAAGTTCATGGAGGATTAGCCCACCACAGTGCTACTCAAGACCATTCACATTCAACTATTATTCATAAAAGACCTACTGTTGGGGAGTATGCAGTTAAAGAGCCAAAGAAAAGTAATCCATCTTAGTCTGAGTTTTTAGTGTTTCTAGATTTATTTAAAAATGAAGAAATAAAGTTGTAGTATTTTTTTGTCAAAATGAAATCACTGTCAACACTTCATTCGGTTACTGCTATTTTTAGGGGTTTAAGTTATGGCAGAAACAGTATTCATGTTTAACAGATTTTTATAAAAAGGAACTGTGTGCTATGTAAAAGTTAAAATGTTGTTTTAAACCAACTGTGTTCTCTCCATAACAATAAAGTGTGTGTTATTTCATTTTAATTTTCATGGATATTAGCATTAGTCCGTATCTAGTCTATCAAGTATTATTTCTTAATGGGTTACATTGCATTTCTATATTTATTGTCTGATAGACCCAGTGTTACTTGCTGATCTCGTCAAAAATCTGAAATCTAACCCATTTTGGAATTTACTAATACCCCCATCAAATACTCGTATAAGTCAAATGATGATAGTAAAAATCCTCTAAATATCTACACTTGCTCAATTCAGTGCCAAGCTCAGAATATATAGCTAACAGTAAGTCATCCCATACACCCCACTGCTCTGCTTTATAACCCACTCAGCTCTTTCTCCCCGAAGAATAGACAGAGCTATTATTAATACCATGTCATCAGCTGACCTTGCATAGAGATGGAGTTTGCAGTATAATATCCCATAAAGCCATTCAAGGCTAGAAGATTATTTGTGGATGCAGATACATGCTTTCTACATGTTGTGCATAATACATGACTCTAGTGGAAATGGATCACATTTTTAAACATGTCAAACCTGGTCATGAAATTGCTTTAATTGCCAGGTTTTCCATAAGGACTCATACTAATGATTTTAATGCTTTTCCTGGTTTGTTCTGTCACACCCAGAGAGACCGACCTTTGTGAAACGCCCTAACAACGTGGTGGTGCTGGCGGACGAGAGTGTGGAGTTTCAGTGTGTGGTTCAAGGAGACCCTGTTCCCACCGTGCGCTGGAGGAAAGATGATTCTGACTTGCCTAAGGGCAGGTAATGCACAAAGGCCTTCAGTGCACAACCTAATTCACCATGCAAGCATGCGTTTCAGCTTGTGCTTTCATCTCCCGATACACTGTGTCCGTGCTGCCTCTACAGATTTGAAATCCTAGAGGACCATACCTTGATTGTTCGGCAGGTGACCTCTTTGGATGAGGGCTCGTATACATGCGTGGTGGAGAACATGGTGGGCAAGTCGGAAGCATCGGCCACGCTCACCGTACATGGTCAGTACTCTTCATCGGCTCTTCAGATGTGCAGTGTTTACTCAGTGCATTTCACATAGCTTTGCATGGGCATATAACTTTCACACAAGCTCTAAATATATCCTAGTGCTGTGAGTTAGCTGCTTTGACCTGTCTATCACACCAATCCGCATTAGAGACTGTTAATATCTTTTCTGTGGGGATGGAAAGTAATTAGATACTACAGCAACAACAACAACAAAAAATAGCACAAAGATGCAAAAAACCCATAGCACTCACTGGTTAAAATAAAATGCCTTTATTAATTTACGGCATGTCTTAATGGACAACTTACAAAGTCCCGACACGTTTCAGCTTATGGCTTTCCTCAGGGGACAAACACATTAACACATCAGTATTGTGTATAGATAACTTAAAATAAAGTCTTCTTTCTAGTTTTTGGCAATAGCAGACCCATAGACAGCAGCGTTAGTAACAGTGGCTGTAAAAGTAAACATTTAAGCTATTATTAGTAGAAAGTAGTAGTACAGAACTATTATTGTTTTTGGTACTTTTTACTTGGATACCCATGGATTGCTTCTATCATCTATCTTACTCTCAAGCAGTAACTATAACTATTCTTATAAACAAGCTTATGTAGCTGTGTGTTTACAGCGACTTGTTATAGTAATGGTGGATAAGCCAAGCAAAGCATGCAAGATAAATGTTTTCTCCAGCGCATAAAATGGATTCATTTGGCTAAAGTGTCCTGCCACAGTTTCGCCCTCAAGTTCTTAAATCATTTGCAGGAAATGAGTGGTGAGACACTTCTCATCCTCCCACTATGTAAACACATATAGAGGGACGCAGTGGGTGACACCGGCTGGGGACAGTAGGACTTAATTAAAGATAAGGCAGGTCTGGTGCATGCTGGGAAATGACATGGTTCCAATTACACTGTCTTCTCCTGCATTCACAAAAACAACACAGTGGGAGCAGGGGACCATAGCTAATTTGGGCAATAAATGGGAAACAGCAACAACTAGCAGAAGAGTTGCAATTGTCACAGTGAGGGAAAAGCTATTTGCACAATATTATCATCAAAATTACTTGCTTGAAAATCAGAGGTGGCAGAAAAATTATTTTAAAAAAAAAAAGTGAGCAAGGTAAAATATTTACCGAGATGAAAGTTCAAATATTGTTGTATAATAAGGCAACAGTATCCTAACATAACAACAACTACTGCAAATGCTACTTTTACTACTCTACTTAAAGGTGCATTGTGTAACTTTTCTGGTGGAGCATCTGTGAAATGCTTTTCTCAATGGAGATGTTATTGCTTTGTCTGGAATGTTTCGCAGTACAGCATGAAACCTTTCTATCATCATGGAGACCAAACCAGGCCAAGTTATAGGTCAGCTCTGTAGAGAGACAAATTTGCTCACAGTCAGAATTAGGGATGTAACAATAACCAAAATATCGTGTTTTGTATATTGTATCATCAAAGTTCTCACAATAATATCGTGGACCGTCACATATCGAATTGTGAGTCTCTTTGCTTAAATTAAGAGTTATGGTGCAGCAATAGCTAAAAAAAGACAGAGGGAACTACATAGACCATAATGCTTTGCTCCATTTCAGCGTAGCTACAAGAAGAAATAACAGTTCTAAGCACTTTTAAGTCTTAGTCCTTTGGATTAAGTCTTGTCAAGGCATTTTAAGAGGAAAAAGTAGCATATTCAATTTTGTTAGCCTCCACAAAATTTTGCAATAAATATCGTATTGTGAGATGTATACCGTGAAAATATCATACCAATAGATTTGGATATTGTTACATCCCTAATCGTGAGCCTCCCCACCATATCGTGAGCTTTCCCACGATATCGCAATAAATATTGTACCGTTAGGTTCATACCGTGACAGTTTCATATCATGAGACTTGGATATCGTTACACCCTTAGTCAGAATGTGTGTCCCTCGTATTGTGGAACATTCCAAGCAGAGCAATGATTTATCCATAGAAACAAGACGGTGACGGACCACAAGCAAAAAGTTACATAGTGCACCTTTAATATAAGTAATTACTTATTGTACTTGATATACTTTACTGCTACTACTGCAACTCCGTTCTGACCACCTTTGTGACTTGTGCACTAAGGAAGGGAGTTTTCTCCAAAAAACTCCACTTAACATAATTACTTGTGGGATAGTATCAAGTTACTTTCCAGCCCTGTTGAAAACTAATGTAGACTTGACATTTTGCTTTGTGTCATTTTCAGGTAGTTAGTCGTTAGTCGTGACCGCGAAGTCATTTTTACTGACACAGAACATTTGGTTGGTATTAGACATTTGCCATTTTAAACAGTTGTAACAAGCCAAAACAGCTTAGACAGTTAGCCCTGGCTCATAGAGTAGAGTGTAATGAGTATTCGCTGTTGCACTTCCACTGAGCCATAGGCAGCGTGTAATCTTGTGTGATACTGCTGGAAAAACATTCTTTAAACACAAAAATGCCACAGTAATCTCTCTCACAGTCGCTCCAAAGCAAGCTGGTCGGATAGCCGTTCATTTCCTCATAAATCAAATTTACAGATGTCAGCACTCGCACTGAACACTGAGTTTCCCTTTTATAAAAATATGTCTCAGCAGAATAGGCCTCTGTACAGTATCATTATTCATGTGGCTGTTTGTGTGTGTGTGTCTTCTCTCTTATAGTAAACACGGGTAAGTTGTCATCCATCCCTCATCCACCATCTGACAGCAGCAGGAACTCATGAGCAACTGTCTCTGTCCCATCTGCACTCATAGTCCATCAACCAATACAGTGATTCTTATAATGCATGAAAACAAACCAGGATTAAGGTAAATATTGCATACATAATGTCCATTTGTACTGATAGAACCTATAAATAAACCCCAGTGACCTGTCCACCCTATTATTAGAGTCAGATGCCCCTGTACAGACTGAATAAAGTAATGTCATCAGTGTAGTTTAGAATCAAATTTGCTTTCAGTGTTGCACTTCTACAACCCCGATGATTTTGAATTGGCAACTCTCTCTCTAACTTTGACCCATTTTTTAAGCACAATTTTCATTGAATTAAAAAGTGATCCAGTGCTTGCCGCTGTAGTGGTTTAAGGCATTGCACATACGTGGATGTCACCACCTTTACTGCATTTCTCTACCCCCTCCCCTCTCTCTCTCTGTTTCACGCCTAAGCTGTCCTGTCAAATAAAACCTTCCAGCCAGAAAACCTTTAAAAAGAAAAGAAATCAATCCAATATGCCAAATATTGAAATTTCAACCATGTTTTGCACCTCTAGCTCTCCTAAAAGCTCTATTGTTCAACTGTTTTTTTTTAACTTGCTGTTACCTTAATTCAATTTTTGCATTCAGTAAAACAATCAAATGTTTCAAAATAATATGAATTTGGTTAAACTGTGAAGACTTTAAAAATAAGTTGCAAAAGGCACTGGGTTCTACAGGCTAGTTCTAGTATTGATATCCGAACAACCCAAGATAGTATCTTACAGTGGTTCATTGATTCAGTGAACCATAAAATTAGCTGGTTATCTGTCAAGATTAAAGATCACATGGAAACACAAGAGGGAGACAGTAAATCTTAACAGTGATGGATTGCAGCTGAGCCCAGCATCTTCATTGTTCAACAAGACTCATTTGATCATTGTCTCGAATTACACTGGTAATATGAAGAGGAAATCTCCATGAGGAAATGGAAGTAATGAAAATGCCATTTCTGCTGTAGTACCAGAGATTATTCTTGAGTTTGTAAACAGACCATCATATATTTTCTAATCATCATGATAACTTCTGCTACATTTGGGAAATTGTTTTGATATGAAAAGGGAAAAATTTGCTAACATAGAGCTGTAGTGTCATTTGAATATTTTGTGTTTCAGCTTTGCAACATTATGATGACTTTTTAAAAGTCAAGAGATATTTACAGTATTTAGTTTTAAATTGGAAGCATTACGGCAAAGGTCCTAATTTTTTTATCATTCTGAAAAGTATGGATGGATTGAAAACACAGTCATGGTATTTTCAACAATTAAGTCTAAAACACAAATCTACTATTTGAATTTTAAAACTTTTAAATTTAGTAGGTAAAATGAACAGTAGTGGTAGAGATTGGTGCTTTCTGTACTTCCTTCTACTTGTACGAGTGAGGAACTGCCCCTTGTATTATTAAACAACCCCTTAGTTTGCACAATTCATTACAATTTGAGGCTTGTAATAACAAAGGTGTGGTCAGGGATAATTGAGTTCTTTTGCCTTCTCCTCTGTAGTGCCCCCTGCTTTTGCGATCCGTCCCAGGAACCAGGTGGTGGCGGTGGGCAGGACAGTCACCTTCCAGTGCGAAGCCACAGGCAACCCCCAGCCTGCAATCTTCTGGCAGAGGGAGGGCAGTGAGGTGATGCTAGCCACTGCTCTGTCATTACAACAAATGACCTCTCAGATTAAGCTAATGAATGGCTTTTGTTAACTTGTGTGATCTCCTTCCTTTTTAGAGTCTCTTGTTCTCGTACCAGCCGCCACAGCCATTTAGCCGCCTGTCTGTGTCCCAGGTGGGCAGTTTGACTATTACCGATGTCCAGAGATCAGACAGTGGCTACTACAGCTGCCAGGCCCTTAACATCGCTGGAAGTGTGATAACCAAAGCACTGCTGGAGGTCACTGACTGTGAGTAAACAACACTGGCTGTATTTACCCCTATTCTGTCTTAAGTGGTTTATCTTTGGGGTAAACATGGTGGTTTTTTTGTTTTTCGAAAATGGATAGTGCCGGGTCCATAAACCGATGTGGGCTTTTATTGCTTTGGGTTGTGACCTGGTGGGTGGGGCCTCGGCTGAATAAGGGGAGCATTTTGTTTACTGGCAGGACTCAAACCACTCTGTTTCCATGGCAATGGTATGAAAAGAGCGTCATTCTGAAAGGCATTGGATTTCACCATTGTCCTCTTACTAATTCAATCATCCAATTAAAATCGTCTAATTGTAATGGGTTCATTAAGGAGAAATAGGCTTTTTACATTATGTTCAGAGTTATCTATCGACACTTCTGCTGCTTGTAAACAGTACTGATGATTTTGCCATGGCCAGACAGATCATAATACATTATTTACAATTACAACAGAATAGCAATGTCCATCAAATACCTCATGAGTGAACAAGCCGACTAATCAAGAACACAATTTCAGTCAATATTAGGACGTTTATCAACATTTAACCTTTTGAACAGATACCTATAGAAATATCAGCATATAGGGTTTATGGTCTACAGAACAAATTGTACAGATTTATCTGTTTATTTTGGTGTTTTTATGCTGGAGATATAGCTGTAGAAACGCAGCCACAAGTACATTCTGGACAACCTGGGAGCTCGATGCCACGACTTTGAACACTTAACATTAGGGATTTGTCATTGTGGCTTGGTCTAAATGTAGATATATTTTAGGGCGTCCTTCAGACCTTGTGTCCTTTTCCCATCTTGTACAAGAATCCTCACCACAGGCTTACACAACTGTCCAGTCACTCTGCAAGGACACCAATGTGCTGGATCAGAGACTCACCCGGGCAGTGGTAAATGATCTGATGGCAGCCGCTAACTATAAAAAACTATACTATCTGTCTTCATTAAGGGCACTATTGGATTGTACTGCCATAACCCAATAGACTGTTCCCAGAGGGGAGGAAGAAGAAGACGGTAACCAATTTCAAAATAATACTTGTAAATATGAACAGATAATAAAACTGTGTTGTCCATGATGTTACCTTGTATTGCCTGTAGGTGGCAGAAGGTGGCATTTTGAGGACACATTGAAGAAAAATAGGCCTGTCACAATAACAGTTTTTCAAGTAAATATTGAACAATGACATTGAAACCAAACCATAAAGCAGAATTGTCTCTGAAAAAATAAATGTACAATATTAAAAAGAACCATGAGCTGCAATAAATAAATAGCAAAATGCAACACTTTTAGTAATTAGTTTCTATCTATAATCATAGAATTAATCAAACTTCTACAGCTCAAATCTTATAATACTCCAGCAAATATAACAACAAATTTCCAATTACTGCAAAGAAAAAAAAAAAAAAAAAAAAAAAAAAAGTTCTATAAATATTATTGAAAAAAAAGCTAAGATAGAGACTTTCTTTCATTATTTTAGCTGCAAAATATATATCAATTATACATTTTTATTTCTTGACTGCAAACTACACTTTTGCATTTAATGATTCATGTAGTGGGTTAAATGAAGCAACAATATTGAAAACTACATTATCACTGGGAACATTAAGCTCTGCCTTGACTATGGCTACAGCCACTTATGATATACATTGTAAATATTGTGATTGTTTCCTGAGGCCATATAAGTAAAACATTACTTTTGCACAACATCAATCCCAGGTACTTAACCGACTGTCCTCCAGATCTTTCATGATGAAATAATTGCATCAACAGCTTGTCACAAAAAGTCATTTAAATTCGCTTGAAGGCTCAGATTTGTAATTAAACATCACCAGTAAAGTCTGGCGGCCCCCAATTTAATGACCTGTGTAATCTCCCATACACGTGTTGAGGTAACTTTCCACTGTACGTACACCGAATTAATGGGGATAATTGCTTTAGGCTTATGCAGATAGTTACTAGACCCGTGAGTTGCTTGGTGCAGGTCTATTAGCAATAATGGATAATCCTCTGCTTAAATTGGTACGGCTCCCCCTGTAGGGAAATGACTGACATCCCCTTCATCTGATACAGGTAATGGAAAGAAAAAAGACCTCGGCCCTGTTGGATGTAATATTTTCACTGGTCTGTGCCACTTCACTTTCTCTCTTCCCTTCCCCCAAAATTTCAGCAGCACTCTGCCCGTTTGGAGTGCTGCATTTGTATGGAAATAACTGGTCTACATTACCCGAGGCACTCCTCCATCTTCTATCATTCCTTTTTATTTAGCTGTTTTTATTTATTTTTCCTCATCCACCGGGTTTTTCTAAAGTGAGAGAAAGAGGCACGTTATCTAAGTGGGTGTGTTATTAGCCTGAGCTGTGCAGTTGTGATTGGAGATGGTTCTAGCCGTGCCTACTGCCGAATGAACGATTAGTTGCTCTCCGCTGGAGGGGAAAAGTTGATTTCTTTTTCCACCACTGCCTCTGCGAGCCCTTTCCAGACCTATTGTTCTCTCTTCACCAGTTTTTTCCTCTCAAAATCTTTTATCTCTTATCAGGCTTTCATCTTTTGGCAGCTTTCCATTTTCATTTTCAGTGTTTTAAACTTTCAACATTTATTTTCACTCACTTTCAAAGGTAAAGACTATTTGGGTCTACTTATATTGAATTGATATTTCCTTAACTACAGCATTTTTAACAGACCCATTGAATTTATTTTGATGAACTATGTACCAAAAGGTAAAATTTTTCTTACTAATTTAATGGAGCAAAATTTGTGGCAGTTGGTCCATCATCTTTGTATTTATGGTCTGTTTGACCCAATAGTAAGCTTTGGAAATACAGAAGTAAGGAAATCCTCCTGAAAATGTACATGAGACTTAATTTAGTATGAACCCTGATCATATATTTTAGTAAATAATGCAGCATGTCTATGCTCTCTCAGTTTGACTTTTGATCTTCTGAGGTTGTCTTATGGTTGTCAGCAGAGCAGAAGCAATAGCTCCTCCCTTGCTTCAGAGAAAAAGACATGTGGTTGTGATACAATTTTCAATATTCTTGCACTATTTATTTTGTATTTGCCTATTCAGATCTGTTACTCATACTTGTTACTTTGTGCTCCACTTAATTTTGGTTGATGGTGTGAAAAGATGAACCACTGGATTTCATCACAAGAGTATTTCATATGTGCTTCAGTATTCAGATGGCCACAAGCTAAGTCTCCCCCACTAACTGTTCGCTTGTCTTTGTGTGCGTACCAGCGGGCTCAGACCACCCTCCCCCTGTGATAAGGCAGGGTCCTCTCAATCAGACAGCGGCCGTGGACAGTACAGTGGTGCTGCGCTGTCAGACCAGTGGGACTCCTCCTCCTTCAGTCCAGTGGAAGAAGGATGGGGTCCTGGTGTCTCCGGTGGACTCGCGCATGTCCCTGGCGGACACAGGGTCTCTGGAGATCCGCTATGCCAAGGTATACACCACAGGGTATAAATGAAACATTATACTGTCTGTAAAGTTCACTGATAATTTTGTGTTTCCTCTGTAGCTCGGAGACACAGGCCTCTACACTTGTGTTGCAACCAGTCCCAGTGGAGAGGCAACCTGGAATGCACATTTACAAGTCGAAGGTATCAGCCTCATCCAGATTTTATGTTAAGTTTTTGTTTGTTTTCATGCTTTGAACATTTAGGTCCCTTTAGAACAGCATGGAATATTAGAAAAGTTGGATTTAATAAATAAAACATTATCTGACTTAATAATTAAAAAAAAAAAAAAATCATAAAAAGAAGTAGTTCCCCTTTGTATCTGACTAAGCAGGCCCATTAAATGGCAATTCTGCAATGTTCTAAATGAAGCCAAAATTGAATATAAAACAGCCTATCCATCTTGCCTCAGTATAAAAATTTCTAGTTTGTCTAGTTCAAAGAGATGTCCATTTTAATACGTACAACATTTTCTGCTGCTGAAACAAAAAAAACAAAAAAAGTATTTATTTAACTCAGTGTTTAGGTTTTCTCTCAAATATATTTGATTTATGCCATATTGTATGTATTAAACAAATTTGGATTTTGTTTTGACAGAATTTGGGGTTCCAGTTCACAGCAGCCCCCCCTCAGACCCCAGCCTCCTCCCCAGTGCCCCCTCTAAACCTGAAGTGATCGAGATCAGCCGCAACTCTGTGTCCCTCACTTGGAAATCCCCTGGCCTTTCCCCCACATCCTACATTATTGAGGCCTTTAGGTTTGTCCCATGCACTTTGTTTCTTAATACATGAGCTGTATTTTTCAAACAGAAAACAGAAATTCTTCTTTTATTCCCTGCAGCAACACCTTAGGCAACAGATGGGTGACTGTTGCAGAGCATGTGAAGACACAGAGCTATGTCTTGAAGAACCTGAAGCCTGGGGCCATCTACCTCTTCATGGTCCGAGCTCTGAATGCTTATGGCCTCAGTGACCCCAGTCCCATATCTGACTCAATAAGGACACAAGGTTGGCATGGACAATCTAATAAAAACACTATGCCTACAAAGAGCAGTATATTTGAAGGATTTGACACTAACCAAATGTGTTTCTTGTTTTTCTGGACAGACGGCAGCTCTACAATCCTGGGCGTGGATCACCGGCACATACAGAGGGAGCTGGGAGATGTAGTGATCCACCTGCACACCCCAACTGTGCTGTCGTCCTCCTCTGTCAGGCTGCAGTGGATGGTAAGAAATAGTGGTGTATTTCAAAGCAGTTCAAATAATTATGTACATTTGGATAATATTTGGGCGACATGTTTTAGTCAAAGTCAAATGCTTCTCACTACCTTTAAAAACATGCAATTATCAATGTTAAAATACAGATTCAGAAGTTTCATTGCCCTCACATTTTTGTAAACCCATAATTACGGTGTCTCCACCATGGTAAACATCTTCGAAATTATATATTATAGCATATTTCCATATTGTTCTTATTCTTATTTTGATTTCACTTTTTTGACTTCACTTTTTCTACTTGTATCTTATGAATAAACAAGGCTAAGGCATCACAGAATACACATGTTTACAGACTCTCATCATTTGAAGAGGCGCTCTGTCATTTTTCTCATGGAGAGTATGCCATCTGCTTGTCTCCATGGATGTTATTGCTTTGGTTTAAATGTTCCACAGTATTACATTAGACATGCATGTATAGCTTTATTTCAATTACAGGTGTTTTTATTGTCAATAAACCTTGAAAAACATGCATTCTTTTTGAGAGCAGGATTGCCTCACCAGAGGTCTGACCTGTAACATGGCCTGGCTCGTTTCATTGCCTTCTTGTCTCCATGACAGTGAATATGCTGTGTAACATTCTGGATATAGCAATAATATATCCATGGAGGCAAACAGGAGACAAATCTGTATGGTATAAAAATGCTGCCCATACTGCCTCAAAGATGAGTCATATGACATTACTCTATTGTACCTTTGTTATAATCAGTCATATTTACACTGTAACTCTTACGGATGTTTATTCATATGCAAAGTTCCTATGAAATAAATAAATATGCTATGCTATGTTACGCTATGCTTTCCTACAAAGAAACATATGCTTTTACCATTACACTACCTTGCATTATGTTGTCTTCTTTATATTCCTCTCAATATCACAGCACCCTCTGCTGCAGTAAACAGTGGGAGTCAGGATAGAACAAGGACACTAGCCTTGTGCAGTTTGACTCAAACCCAGTGAGCTTTCAGAGGTGACCCAGTGCGGTATATTTTCCATCTGGATGCTCCTACAGCAGCCTTTGAACGCATCTCTGGAAACATTTGTGAACATGTGGTTTAGATGCACTCAAGACATAATTTTAAACAGCATACGGCAAGTCGGAAACTATTAATGACCTCATAGTGTGGTTGATGCACAACATAATGTCTGAACGCATGGAAAACCCCTGTAGGATGTACAGTGTAAATATGAAGGCATTCATAAACATTGATATACAAAATCCATTTAACCCAAGATGGGTAGAGTAGCCAGAAATTATTCTCAAGTATGAGTGAAGTTGCTTCAGAATTATTTTACTCAGGTAAAAGTACAATGTAAAAATCCAGGAAATTATTCACGTAAGTGTAAAAAGATTACTAGTCAAGTAATTGTAGAACCATCTGGACTTAATATCTGATTTATAATTTGAGGTTAATGTAAATGGAATGACAAAACAATAAATAATGCACAGCATCTGGTATTTTCAAAGGATACAGCCAGAAATGATAAACTAAATCATATTTGAAGACGTAGTGCAAAAAATAAATGCAAATGCAAAAATGTTTAATTATTTAGTATTGTCAATATACGTTTTTTCAATTATAGATTTATTCAAAGTGGAAAGTCTGTTCAAAACCTTTACTCAAGTAAGAGTACTGTTACTTCAAACAAAATCTAGTACTAAAAGTATGCAATCTATTCAAAGAAGTACAATTTCATAAAAAAATTACTAACTACCCACCTCCGCTTACAACATAAACATACTTTACACTTGTATAGTGCTTTTTGTGACACCCATAAATACAAATACTAGAGATTTAATTGTATTTTTGTTTACTAGGTGGAGCAGCCTTCACTTTACATCCAGGGATATAAAGTACTGTACAGACCCTCAGCAGAGCATGGGCAGCCGGACAGTCAGTGGAGTGTCCTGGAGGTCCGGGCGCTGCAGGAGGACGGAGTGGTCATCTCACAGCTGAAAAAAGCATCCATTTATGAGTTTAAAGTGCGCCCGTTTTTTGATGAGTTCCAAGGAGCCGACAGTGATGTGAAAGTGGTCAAGACATTACAAGAAGGTAGGCAGTCATGTCTTGTCATTCTTTTTTAATGTTTGTGTTGATGGTGAAGGTGAAAGGTGTAGTGGCTGGCAATTTTGAATGATTTTGGAAGCGGGTCAGTCCCCCTCCCACTTATATTCTGCCAAATAAAAAAAGGTTTTGGCATCCTCACATGCAGGCTTGTTCTTATTAACATTGGAATAATGCAGACTGTTGTTGTATTTTCAAATTGTAATATATTGTGTATGTCAGTATAGTACCCTACCCCCTAATTGTGATTGGTAGTTGTCAAGCAAATTGATTCTTCTGTTGCTTTGATTTGTGTACCTTGATGTTAGTGCAAGAGCCATTCTTTAGAAATACAGAAAAATAATGAAGATTGGTTACCCAACTAGCAAATTATAATACATAACTTAAAGTGGCACTTTAATACATTTACATGATTACAACAGAAATATGACAGATTTTAAACAAACAAAACATATTCATTTATCAGTGCCAATTAATATAAGAATATGAGCTCACAAAGTCAGCCTCATATCCATCTGCGCACATTTAGTTGGACATGGGGCAGAATGTAGCATTAATTAATCAACTGAGAGCTTAGAATGTTATAGCTTTCACAAACAAATGTAAAACAATTTAACTTGATAATCCCTGCCTACACAGCCTGACAAAACAGTCCTGACTCATGTGTCTCTTTTGTTCACCTATATTGTACAACATTTTACATGCACAGGCGCAACAATAGTAGCTTTGTCATAAGGGACAAGTCTCCATGGTTAAAGTGTATCCTCATTGTTTCAGCCCCGAGTCGAGCACCCCAGGGTGTTACTGTAACAAAGACTGATGCCAACGGGACTGCCATCCTTGTTGCCTGGAAACCGCCCCCACAACAGGAAGAAACCGGACTCATTCAAGAATACAAGGTACAAACCGACTCTTGTGTTTTACAGTTACGCTTTTGTGTTTCTGTTGTGTCTACTATTATTGCATGTTCCCTCCAGGCTATCACTGTCATCTTCTCACTTCTTTGACAGATTTGGTGCTTGGGTAATGAGAGCCGCTATCATGTGAACCAGTCGGTGGATGGATCAACTCACTCTGTGCTTATTTCAAGTTTGGCCCCTGGAATCCGTTACAGTGTTGAAGTAGCAGCGAGCAATGGAGCGGGCCCTGGAGCCAAAAGTGATGTTACGTTCTTCCAACTTGGTACGAGTCTCAAAAAAGTGCAATATTTCACAATACCACAATATCAGGTTTTTCATTTCTTCACTTTATTGCTGTTGGAGATTGATGGAAGGAGTGATATTTCTCAAATGTGAAATTTATAAAGCAATCCTTATCAAAAGAGCTAATAAAAAAGATCACTAAAGTATTTTTGAAACTACACAGACTGCCTTTAGGGTATATTCAGAATGCAGTGCCTTTATACTTTTTTCTTTTTTTTCATTTAAGCTCTTGTAAACTATACTGTAAAAAATGTGACCTTTAAGATGATTTTATAATAAGCTAAACAGTAACATTTCTGTTGTGTTGTATTTTAAGTGTATCGTTTATTACCTGCATTACACAAAGCACTCGCTCTTATTTTTCATTTACTCACATTATTGTTGTCATCGCTCCACTTGTTTAGACTCTGCTGGTCAGATGATGGACATCACAGAAGCCAGGGACACTCTGTCTCAGATTTCTGATGTGGTGAGGCAGCCAGCCTTTATCGCTGGCATTGGCGCCACCTGCTGGCTCATCCTGATGATTTTCAGCGTGTGGCTTTACCGACACCGGAAGAAGAGAAGTGGCCTCAGCAGCACATACACAGGAATAAGAAAAGGTATCTTATGAAGACTGATGCTCACATTCAAAACAAAGCAACCAATCAGTCATACTAAATTAATTCCAGTATGGTCAGATTGCTGTAAAGGTCACATCTGTTGAAGCGCTGCCATTTTTTACCTGAAAAACCAGCAGATGACTTCTGAGTGATCTTAATGAATAGCCCCTGATAGATAATAGCCAGGGCACATCAAAAAGAGTGAACACTACCAGGCTTTAATCTTCCTTTGAAACACAGACTTCACACGCAAATGAGACACTTTGCATTTGGAAATAATCCCACCGTCAAAAGCTGACCTTTAGCTGCTCATTTCCTCACAAGCTAAACATGTCTCCGTAGCAAGGGCTTGTCAAGCTGCCATTAGCCTATCTGGGACAGCATCACTGGTATTTTCTGCATGTCCCGCGGGTGTCTGTCACAAGAATTAACCTTCACCTACACTGAGTGTCAGTGTCATACACTCAACCACATATGGCTCTTAGACATGTTTGTTTTCTATTTGCTAGAGGTTGATCTACCTGTAAGTTGACCACTAGCAGCATAATGGTACAGAAGATATTGGTTGAGTAGTTTCTCAGTGTGTCAGACACTGTTCATTACACCCAAAGTGCAGAAAAAAAAACGTTTTAATGTACATATACATGGTCTGATTAGAAGCTTGATATATGTTTGGTCTATGAAATATATTTATACAAGGGTTTCACAGTTGATCATCAGTGTATATGTGTACAATGTACACAACTTTTACTACCAAAAACATTGCCTGCAAAGGCCACTATTGTCTGTATACACTTAGTTATTGAATATAGGACAAGAATGCTATACACCTCTCCTTCAGCAATCTCTATCTGTTTTTTTGTTTTTTTTGTTTTTTTACAGTGCCATCTTTTACATTCACTCCTACAGGTATGTATTATGAATTACTGCATGATACTTTTTCACTTGTTCACAAGTTGTAGTCTATCACATAGCAATGAAATTATCTTTATCTTTATCTATCTATTCTAAGTTTTGTGGTAGAAGACGGCACTCTACTACATAATAAAAATACCAAATGTGAATGAAGTTTTAAGCTATTTGCATTTGTATATTTGTTACTTGATACATGCTCCAAGGTTCTAGCAGCTGTTATATTTTAATTTAATTAATAATCAAAATATTGCTGTAAATGTGTCTACAGTCCACATTTGTGGACTTTACAATATAAGGCTTTTTGCTTTATATTTATTGCATTTAGTGTGACAGATACTGGAATAGTTACAGTTATTGTCTTTGACTGACAGTGGCACCCTGAGGACACAGGGTAACTAGGTTATACTGATGTGTTTTTATTTATGTGTATAAATATAGAAAATACTGAACTTTTGATGTCTGTTATTTTTGCTGTTAGTGGTTAAACAACATTGTTTCCCTCTAATTGTGTTGTGCTGCTTTTAGTGAATGCACTGACAATTATTTGTGTTGTCATATAGCACATTAAAGCTCTCATCTTTTAATAGTTATAAGAAGATGCAGTGCAGCGAGACTAGACTTTTGAGTTTTTCCTCTCCATGTTCGCCTGTGCCCCGGGCTGTTCCCTCATTTTGACAGCTCATCAAGTTTGCATGCTTTTTTCTGCTTCACTTTGCAGTTGCCTATCAAAGGGGGGAGTCTGTATGCAGTGCTGGCAGGTAAGAGATATTTTTGTCTTTGTTTTCTGAAATGCATGAACTGCACTTACATAGTTCATCCACTGGGGGGAGATGTCTTACCACTGTGAATTTATAAGAACGTGCCTTTGATGAAAGCAGAGCAATAGGATGGGATTTTGACAACACATCTTCTCTTAATAAAATAAAATAAAGGTTTCAGAATGATGAAAAATTTGAACCCTTGTTTCATCAATAAACAACGTAAAACAAAATGTCATATATTTTAATACTGAAAAGTCCTCAAAATGTTGGTTATAATGCAAAATTATAACCCATAAATATATATATTTAATAGTTCATTAGAATGAAAATGGCGATGACTATTACTTCTTTTAATACCATTAGTACTGTCACTTTTCCCTCAAATAATTACTCACAGCATAAATAAAACCCAATATATAGTTTTTATGTTTTAAAAATTACATTTGATTGACAGCTTTGTCTTGCTTCTTGCACCAGGCCTGGCCTCCTCGGCATGGGAGAGCCCCTCAACCATCTGTGGCTGCCTGAAAACTGGCCAAACGCCTGTGCCAATCACAAAGACTGTAGCATCAACTGCTGCAACAACGGCAATGGCACCAGTGACAGCAACATGACAACCTACAGCCGGCCAGGTCTGCACACACAATGAAAAACATCCCCCTGAATGAAAGAGAAGTGAATGCCTCTAGTGAATTAACACTATTCTCTTTGTCTGACAGCCGACTGCATTGCAAACTACGGCAACCATCCAGACGCCAAGCAACTTGGATCGGAGATGCCCATTTACAGCGATGTCAATTTAGCCAACAAGCTAAATGACATAAAAGCATTCAGTAACTCAAGTTTGTGCTTTGCGAGTCCAACCGGATCTGCCACCTATGAGCCAATCCCCTATGCAACTACACAGCTCATCCAGTCTAACATTAAGAATAAACCAGCCATGGGGGGCGCTATAGGGGAACCAGTGGATATGCCGTGCTGGAAACCTCCTAACCCCCCTCCTATTCCCAAAGAGATTGCAGCACAAATGCAGTACAACATCATGGCTCAGAATATGCTCAATAAAGGTAAGCAAAGCACCCCACTGTAGAAGGTACTGTATACCCAACAAAGCTTAAAAGCATACTGTGGAAAAAAGATAGTAGTTTATATTGCAACCTTAAACTCCTGCCATGGCTACTATTGTTTCTATTGGGCTACTAAACCACTAGGTTAAGGTTAGCAATAGCCTACTTTCCGCTGTTAACTAACAATAAAAGAAAAGATTATAAGGTTCTTACTAGATAAACTCTGTAGAGACTGTCTGCTGTGGTTAGTCATTAAAACTGATGAAGTTTAGGAACAGGGTTATAATTTAGGTTAAAAAAATTGTTATAGTTTATATTAGGGAAATTGTTAAAATGAGGACTAGGAAAATAGAAAAAATAGGGCTTTTCATTTTCATTTTTTATTTATCTTGATTTATACAGGGAGAGCCCACTGAGAGTACCATCTCTACTACTACTCCCTTTTTCATTAGCAGCAGTAACTTTAAAATACCACCCAGCAGCAGCCTTACTTGGTAAAACTGAGCTATGCCATCACTTCCGTCCCTGTGGAGCCAACTATCTAGCAATTACTAGATTTATAATACATTACTTCCTTATTACAGAACATCATTCAGGCGGTGAATTAATCCACCCCAAAACCATCCCGTATAATCGGAGCTTGGACAACAACACTGTGAGCTCCCACCACAGCTCAGACAGAGGCAGCAGTGGCACTTCAGGTAACACAAAAAAACTGACTCATTTTTATATCAAACTTCAAACGTCTGCCTTACTTACCTCAATGTTGTTTTCGCTGCCAGGAAGTCAAAATCAAAAAAAGGCCGGACGTGTTCAGAAGATGCCAAAACATAATGCAGTGAGCTGGGGAGAGGCAGCATCCCCTCCTAATGCATGGGACTGTGATGACTACAGTCTGCCCTTGGAAAACAGGTATAGTCATCATAACATTTTGAAGTGCGATATATATTACTACTGAAAATATTACAAGAAATAACATGAGCTGAACAACCCTAAAGTTGCAAAATTAGTAAACTCTATTCGCAATATATATTGTTAAAATGGCTTGTAAAAATTCATTATTTATTTCACTCTTACCATTTATCACAGTACAAAAAATGTATAATAATAAAATCTCCATTAGTGCAAAGAAAAGGTACACACAATTAATTAATAACGAGTCAATATAGTAATTATCCAAGGTTTACAGGTAAGGAGCAGTAAGATTGGATAATTTTGCTAAAAAGTTTATAGCATTTCCCAATTATCCAAAGGTGGTTCTAGTGAATAAATAATAAAAAACTGAGCTCAATGACAGTAAGAGGACGCTTTTGTTTATGTATGAGCTTTTTGACTTAGCGTCTGACCGGAGTCTTCACCGTCTAAGGCTAATATTTTTAATTGTTTTGACAGCAGAGTATTTTGCAGACAGCAGTACCCTGCTAAGTGACAAAAGAAATCTCCAGTTTCCAGTATTTTCAGGCACACTGTATAATTAATATCATGTGTGAACACCTGCAACCACAACAAAGCCTCATCTTTGTTGACAAGTTTAAACAACACCACTATTTTGAGCTTCTGTGAAAAAACAATAATAGCATAAACAATAATATAATAACTTTGAATTCAATGCATGGCTGTGCATTAATTTTATCTCTGCAAAATCATTATGCAAGACTCTAGCCCAAAGATCACACTGGGGAAGCAGCCATGTGGCTTTAGGGGTAATTTAATAGTATCTCATGTGAAATGACATTTAACTAGTCTGTTAGTCTGTGATTGGGTGCATGTCGTATTGCCCATCCAAGCTTTATAAAGCTAAGGCTAAAGCTGAATGAATGCCTGAATTGTATGTCCATTTCAGTGTGATGAATACGAAAAATACACTCATATTACCCATGGTCATGTCAAAATGTGCTAAAAGCTAATATAGTTCTGGACACTACATACCTTTCATTAATACATCTAGTTTTGACATACATCCAACACTGCCAGTATGCATCAATAACTCAGACAGAGGGGGCTACCATTTATTTCTTTGACATTTCCTTGTGATTGAAATTCTGTATGTTTTGAGTCACAGCTCAAAATTCCATATATTTTCTGTGAGTTTGACTGATGTGCTGCTGCTAGCTACATTGATTCCTGAAAGTTTGACCTTTTCTTTTAGTTATAACCCTGAGGACAGAGCAGAGAGCTGCCCCACTCCTCCAGTGAGGGGCCCGGCCTCGTCTCATTCTGAAGGATCACTACCAATCACCTCCCTGCACAATGGAAATGAACAGCAGAGGTAACTATTATTTTACATGTTAGTATTGTAAAACAAATTTGATATATATGGGTTCCTATTTACTATTATGGAGAAAAAACTACACCAGGACTAAATATGAACCAGCTACAGACTAAACTACAGTAGGTTTAAGTCCAGAATGAACCAGGTGTAAATAAAAAAAATGTTAAACAATTATTAAACCAGGATTAATGAAGTGCCAAACCATAATTTCATCAACAGCATAAATCTTAAACATGAAAAACAGAACTAGTTTATTTTAAACTGTTTGCAGCGAACAGCACACAGCCGTCTCATTTGAACCCAAAGAGCTGCTATCACAGCATATCTGTTCTAGGACAAAACTAATTGTACTTGGAAAAACATGGTACAACCCATTTACCCTTGACTGAACAAGGGATTAAAAGTCTGTTGGACACTTTCAAGTTCAAGTTTTATCTTTTTCTTCTGTATTTCAGCCTTGACACTGATGGTCAAGAGGAAGATGAGGAGGAGTTAGAAGAGGAGGAAGAGGAAGCAGAGCCCACAGAGGCGGTTTACAGCCCACACCACGGTCAACAGCACCCTAAGGCCCACAGAGCCCACTCTTCTCCGTTCAAACTTCTGCACCCAGGGCTGGAGCAAACTCCGGCCTCCAGCACCGGAGAGCTGGACCGCTCCGTGACGGGCTCCATGGTGAACAGCTGGGGCTCAGCCTCAGAGGACAACATCTCCTCAGGCCGCTCCAGTATCGTCAGCACGTCTGAGGGATCATTCTTCACAGACGGGGATTTCAACCAGCCGCTGCCTTCCAACAGGGATTTACTGGGACTACGAATGTGCAGATATACAGAGGACACAGGTGGGAAATCAGGACGAATAAGTGAATATGATTTTGATGTTGTATAGAGCAATAGAAATTTAAGGAATCATGTTCACTAAATCATGTCTGAATTTTGATTATAATCATATAAAAGTCTGCTGTATCTCTGCTGGTCATTTTTTGTTGATTCTCCTTGTCTTGTTAATTACACCTGATGACATTTTATGTACATAAGAATAGCAACAATTTCTGTAACCATACATTCATAATACTGCTATGCTATGCTATTACCATAGTCACGCACTATGTGATTGTTGTGATTGATGGCTCCTTGTGGATGCAGGTGGGAGGCTGCCACGGCCCAGCAGTCCCCTGTCCACCGACAGCAACATGAGTCCTGCTGTTACACATAAGAGACCCCGCAGACATAAACACAACCAGTCTGCTCACGGCTGCCATCCCAAAGACGTCTTCAGTGACGGTACTTTATCATCGCACTTCTGCATATGACTACTGTGCTTGTTTTGTTATTAACCCTAACCCTCTGCTCCGTGTGTGCTCCCCAGACACATGCATGCCTCTCTCCTTCACCAGCCCGGTGTCCCATGAGGACTACAGGGTTAGGGGGGCCACACTGCCGCGCATGGGCTCTGGAGAGGCTCGGGGCAGACGAGGCAGTGCAGGCCCGCAGAGGATCAGAGAGGGGATCTTTGAACAGAGCGAGGGACAAGAAAAGCACAAAACCACAACAGGAGCTAAAGGAAGCAGCAAAAACCGACAGCACTCAGGTAATTACCACTACATTAGCTTCATATTACACTTTCACAATGCAAAGTCTAACCTCTTTTTCCATTGGTGATTCCCAGAATTTGGGGATGTGCCTCTGTACAGTCGCCCCACGTTCCCATTAGGTCAGACACACCGGTCTGAGTCTGACAAGAAATCATCCAGTTTTATGAATGAAGAATCACGGACCAAACAGGGAGGGGATGTGTCGGCAACAACGCAGGCTGGAAGGTAAAAAACTATAATTGGAAGATGGTCGTGTTTTATAATCAGGCTGCGAAAAGGATGTATAGGTAACATTTTGGTAACTACTCCTAATCAAAATTATTAAAGAATGAAGAAAGACTTAATTTATTATCAACATATATTTTATTAAGAATGACTGAGGCCTAATAACTAATTAACCAGTACCCTACCTCCTGAACTTATTCTAAATGTATAAAGTGTAACTAGCGAAACCACTCAATTAAATGTGCTGTTCTTTTCCAGCTCCTGAAAAGATGAGAGGAAAAAGAAGAGGAAAATTGATTCTGTCATTGCTTCAGATGCAGGACATTTATGGCACAGAAAAAAAGGACTGTAAAAGAAACTGCACAAAACCTGCTTTTTTATTTGTCATTAGGTGTTGGAAAAAAAGAGGCTGATCTGTGGACTTGGAGTTGTTATCTCTTTTGGTGCACATGACTGCCGAAGTGAGCTGAATGCACTGTGGTCACGGTCCCACTCACGTTGTCATGACGACTGCCGGATGCAGATGTGTGCTCTTTGCTTGTCGGTTGTCTTGTTCTTTTACTGTAAGTGATATTCAGTCATTACCAGCCATCTTGTAAATTGTTTACTGCCACAGAAGTGCTTCAAAAATCAAATTTTATATAAGTGTTAATGTTTTATAAAGTGATGTACATCTTGTCTTCTAATTATTTGTCCTACTTGGGTTATAAAAGCACAATCACTTAATTTTATTCTATGTTGTTACTGTATAGACTGGCGAAAATCCGTCTTTGGAGTTAAATCATTTTATCTCTTCAATTGAGGCGGATAAAATATTGTATGTTTGGTCAAGTACATCTGAGCTGCTTTCATTCAGATTGGAAATATCTATTGTGTGTAATATGAGAGAGTTGCATGCGGATTCACCTGTAGGAGATTTTACTGGATTTGGGCTACTTTGTCCTCCATTTGGGAAGATGAATAGTCCGGGCATGGACTGGTTCCATTTATTCTTTTTCTCTGATGAGTCCATTTCATTAAGCCCAATGTTTTCTTGACCTTGGCTGTAACTTCTAGAGTAGGGCTGGACAATAAACCAAAGCCTTTCAGTTACCAGCTATGAATTTTAATACCCCACTTGCCCAACAATGCTTCTAGCCTTCAATATAATACATGTTATGAATCTGACATTGTTCAGGGTGAAGCACTCTCAAAGGAGTTCAAATTGGACCTAAACCTATATATTTATTCCATTTTGGTCCTATTGTCCATCCCTATTCTTTGAGCTATTTATTAAGCAGATACTATGTCACCTTACCTTCTCTGTTTAAATAAATACTGCTGTTCTTAAAACCA